TATATATGGCATAGCTTCCACCATCACAGCAACACACAAGCCACCACCGTACAACAAACTGACAAAATAACATTGGCTCAGAAATTACAGAATATCACCTGTGAGTCATTAACTCTTTTTAAAAATCATATATATGATACCAAATTTTCAAAAATTACTATAAAAGAAAGATGAGAAGGCTGGGAAACTAGAGTACTAGAAATGGCTCAGCTAGAACAGAATGAATGCTGATGGCACATTGTGGAAAAATGTAACCTATCACTGAATAATTTGTATAGAAACTGTTACGCAGGAACCAGATTTTCTGTGTAAACTTTATTTTAATAGCAATAAAATATTACTGAAAAATAAATAAAAACTCACATAGTGTATGTGAATAATACGTAACATCCCAGTGGGATCAGCAGTATAAACTAATTTTGTGGCAAAACGTGAATGTTCACACCAATTGGGATAACCCCACAATTCAGGTACAGTTCTGTCACCAAATAAGTTTGCTCCAAAATAACAGAATAATCTTGGGAGTTTTTTGGATTTCAAATTTTAAGAAAACATACCTTAGACCTGCTTATCAAGCTGGAAAGAACCCCAGTGGTACAGTGGTTACTTAAATACGGGACTGCTAACCAAAAGGTCAGCAGTTTGAGCCCACCAGCAGCTCCAAGGGAGAATGATGTATGTAGCCGTCTGCTTCCATAAAGATTCAGCCTTGAAGACCCTCTGGGGCAGTTCTGCTCTGTCCTATAACATTGTTATGAGTCAGAGTTGGCTCAATGGCAGTGGGTTACATTCTGGTTCGAATGCTTTTCATTGCAGCTACTGAAAAACATACTATGTTGACTTAAACCATAAGAATTTTTATTTACTAAACCAGCCATCTTTGATCTCAGATTTGACACCTCAGTATCATCGAAGACCCAGGGTTTGTCTTTCTGTTCTCTGTTCCTTCTCTGTGGTCTTCGTTCCTCATGTCTGTCACATGAAAGTTACAAGATTGCTGCTACATAGCTAGGCAGCTCATTATTTACATCAACCTTATAAGGAGAGAGAAGAGGAAAGGATCAAAAAGTGTGTTCTTAGAGAAAGTTTTATCTTATATTGAAAAGAAAGTTCCCAATTATGCTTCTCCTTATGTCTAATTATCCACAACAGGGCTATAAGGGTTTCTCAGCCACAACACTGTTACCATTTTGACTAGGTAATTATGTTATGTATCCTGTGCACTATAGGATGTTTGGTTGCATCCCTGACCTTTACTTGTGGTAAAGGTGCCAGTAGTATCCCCCGGTGGTAATAAAACAAAAATGACATTGCCAAATGCCCCCTGGGATTCAATAACAACCCTAATTAAGAACCACTGCCTTAGAGAAATCTTCAAAAAGGGGGACTAGATTATCTTGACACGTTTAGATAAATAATGATTTGCTCCCTGGAGTTGGAAGCAAGGAAGGAGGGGGCTTTCTTTTCTGAATTCACAAGATCACTACAGGCTACAAAATCTGGGTTCTTTAAACCAGCAAGAGCAATGGGATGGTTGTTGTTAGTCCACAAACTTTGAGGGATAATTTAAAGTTTCCAAAATTTGATTATGGTGATGGTTGCTCAACTGTGAATATACTAAAAAATCATTAGTGAAGAGTATGTAAAATTATGTCTCAGTAAAGCTGTTAAAAATGCAACCTCTTAGAGTATTTTCTATTATTTGCCTTATGTATCAGTAGTAAATTACTTAAGAACATGCTATCAGGTACTTAAGAACATACACCCAATATCCCAGAACAGATTGTACCTTACCATGGGGTGCTTTTACAATTAAGCTTTAAGTAAAACTAAATTCTAACTATTGTCTTAACTATTTTTTCATCCCAGTAAAAATGAAATAACACAAGAGCCACATTTTGATATCTGAGCTTAGGTTTATATAACCTTATTTTCTGAGACTACAAAAAAAGCTTTGAAATGGTGCTGACTAATTAATTGAACTTTTGTGCCATTTAAGTAATAACCCCATTGTTTGTGTTTTCTTTTAGGCTGATTCCATCAAAAATGGTGTCCAACTTCTTTCAAGAGCCTATACTATTGATCCTAGTAACCCTATGGTGCTGAACCACTTGGCAAACCACTTTTTCTTCAAGAAGGTAAAATTATTTTTTAAGTTACTTGCTTTAACTCCTGATTTTTGTTTTTCTGTATTGCAGTTGATGCTGTATCTTTATTATTCTTTTGAACTGACAAGAAATGTGAGAATGTCAGGGGTTTTTTTCCCAGTTAATGTTTTTATCAATTATATGGGGTAGGTTTGCTCACTCACTCAATATTAGTGACTTTATATTCTACACTGCATTGTGATAGGGATGTGGAGATCAGTAAGACATGGTTTCTACACTTTAAGAGTTTATAGAAAACACAGTTACTGTAAACAAGTATAAAATAAAAATCTCAACCCATGGGAGGAGTGGTCAAATGGTTAAGGAAGATTTTTCATGGAGATGGAAAAACCTTTTGAGCTAAGTTTTAAGTCTAAAGAGGAAGTCGCTGTGTAATTGAGTGGATAAAGGCAGAGATTTGTTAAATAGTTTAGTGAGAGCATAGGACTTATCTAGTAGGTGATACATTGGATCTAGATAATGGGACACATATGAAACATTGGAAGTTTTAATGTGTTTATACTGGGAACAGGGAGCCATTGAAGTTTTTACTGGTTTTTGCATGTTGATTAGTTTGTATTTTTTAAAATTTCCGTTTATTCTGTAAGAGGTAGATAATATCCCCATTTTGTGAGTGAGTACATTAATGCATAAAATAGCCTGAGGTCACCCAGCTATTAACTATGATACTTTACTCTCTCTGCATATAGAAGCACACTCCTCTTTCATAATGAATTATTGATTAATTTTAAGACTGTAACTATTACAGTAGAATAGAGTCCTGGTGTGGTGCTGTTGGGTAAGCACTGGACTGTGAATCACAAGGTCAGCGGTTCAAACCCATGAACTGTTCCTCAGAAACCGTATGCAGAGTTGCTGTGTGTTGGAATTGACTCAAAGGCACTTAAAACAATAGCATTATAGTAGCAAAGAGTAATCCTTCAGGTGATGGTTGCAGTGTGCCTTTAAGTTGGTTCCAACTCTTAGCGACCCTGTATAGAATTTCTGAAATTGTAAATCTTTACAGGAGCAGAAAAGTTTCATCTTTTCTATCATGGAGCAACTGATGGATTCGAACTGCTGATCTTGGTAGTTAGCAGCCCCACATATAACACACTACGCTGCCAGGGCTCCTATAGGTAAATTAGGTACTACTGGTTAGGCTGAAAATTACATAAGTTAGCCTAGTTTTCACTAAAGAAACAAAGGATTGGTTCTAAATATTTTTTGCACATCTTAATAATTGCTCACAGCTGCTATGACAGCTTTTGAGAGCCAACTGAGAATCATTCGTTTTCAGTTTTCATCCTAAACTAGTTACCCTTCCACTGCTAAAGATTCAGATGTGTTATAATTACAAACATGGTCAGCATAATACAGAACTTTATAGATTGCATATGTCTATACGTATATAGATTGAGTACACATATAAATCAAGCAAGTTAATCTGAGTGTTGCTGAACACTTGGACTGTGCCAGGTGATACAATGTTATCTTGCACTAAACATGTCTTTACGTAGGTTTTCTCAGTTTGTCATCCTGGCAGCCTTGGGAAGTAGGCAGCATATTTATATTTCTCTTTCTGTAAATCAGAAAATAGAGGCTCAGCAGCGTTAGACATAATTCACCTAAATTCACTCAATTAATGGGTAATGAAGAATCTTGGTGTACTATAGGATAAGCACTGGACTGACTTGACAGCACTTAACAGCATAGCAGTGGGTAATAAAGTTGAGATGGCAACTTACAGTTCTCTGTCCCCTATGTTATATTGCCTCCCCTACAGAATAATTTGGCTGGAAAGAGTATTATTCATTAACATACCAGACACTTCAGTAACTGCATGGTATAGTAGGTTTAGAAATGGGAGCTGTCATTACTCATGGAACAGTGAGTACAGGCGTAGTCCTAGAAGGAGCTGAGAATTAATTGAATGACATAGGGTTTAAGTTTGCTTGGCCTTTTGATTTGGAAAGGGAAGAACCCAGAATTCAGAGTAGAATAGGGGCAAAAGCCACAGGGAAGGAAACTGAAAAAGAAATCTCAGCTGTTCTAAAGATGTAAATGAGGATTTTAAAGGAGAACCAGGTTCTTTTTCTAATCTTTAATACATTATGTGTAAATGTTACATTAAAAAAAAATAATAAAGTTTCTTAGAAGATTTGTCATGAATTATGGTGCTGTAGGGTAGACATTGGGCCACAATTGCAAGGTCAGTGGTTCAAACCCACCTTCTGCTCCTTAGAAACCCTACTATACCGGGTCACTATGAGTTGGAACCAATTGTATGGCACTTAACAACAACAACAACAACAATGGAAGAAAAGTAGACACCATAGTATAAAGCAAACACAATGTTTGAACCTTACCCTTATTCCAGTGAATAATATGTAAATTCAGATAAAGGGTTGTTGTGTAATGTAGTTAAAAATGTAGAATTTTAAGTCACCTGATTCAAATTCAGGAATCACCACTAAATAGTTATATGACTTGGGACAAATAATTTAATTTCCCTAGCCTTTAATTTCCTCATTTGAAAGACAGAAATAATGTCAAATTTGTAGGACATGTAGGATGGTGGTTAGCAAAACTCTGCTTCAGACCAAATTGCTAATCAAATGAATACTATACATTCCTATTAAAACAAAAAGTTGTTTCCTACCCCTTATGTATGAACTCTTTGAGATTCGGGTAATAAACTGGATAATCCAAATTAAAGTAAGATATAATGGGAAAATCATGACTCAGCTTTAAATTGTAGCTCAGAATTAAAATCCAAATGCTGAATTTTTACATATACTTAAAATAGCTCTTAAAAATAAAATGTGATAAAAATAAATTTGAAGCCTCAAGCAAGATCAGGACCATAGTGTCAGGGGACACCATGATCAGTTGGCATAACATAGTCTACAAAGACAATGTTCCACATCCTACTTTGGTGTGTGGCATCTGGGATCTTATCATGAGTAGCCATCTAAGGTGCCAACTATTGATCTCTCCATGTGAGGAAGAAAGAAATGTAATGAGAATTGAAGATGCTGCAATCAGTTAGTCCAGTGGACTAATGGAACATGTGAACAACAGTCTCCACGACTCTTGAGACCAGAAGAACTAGAAGGTACATGGCTACCACTACTCACTGCTCTGAAAGGGATCCCATTAGAAAGTCCCAGTTGGAGTGGGAGACAATGTGGAACAAAACTCAAAATTATTAAAAAAACAAAATGACTGAGCTTACTTGTCAGAGACTGGAGGAACCTGAAACTGTAGCCCTTTACTACCCTTTAGGTCTAGAAAGAAATTCACCCTCGTTGCCCACTTTTCAGTCAAGCAGTAGGTTGGTATACAGGAAGGACAACAACACTAGTAAGGCGCGCTCATTCTGGCTCTTGCAGCACAGATTTGTTTGTTCTTTTGGAGGTACATAGTGCTTTTAATATTCTCCTCCAACGCCATAATTCAAATGCATCAATTCTTCTACAGGCTTCTTTAATCATTTGTCCAACTTTGACATGAATATAAGGTTATTGAAAATATCATGGTTTGAGTCAGGCACATTTTAGTCCTCAAACTGGCATCTTTGCTCCTGAACACTTTAAAGAGGTTTTGTGCAGCAGATTTGCCTAATGCAAGATGTGTTTGATTTCTTGACTGCCGCTTCCATGAGTATTGATGGTGTACCTGATCAAAATGAAGTCTTTGACAACTTCAGTCTTTTCTCCATTTATCTTAATGTTGTTTATTGATCCAGTGGTGAAGATTTTTGTTTCTTTACATTGAGATGCAACCCATACTGAAGGCTGTGGCCTTTGATCTTCACCAGTAAGTATTTTAAGTCCTCTTTGCTTTCATCAAGCAAGGCTGTATCATCTGCATATCACAGGTTGTTAATGAGTCATCCTCCAATCTTGATGCCACTTTCTTCATCTAGTCCAGCTTCTCAGATTATTTGCTCACATACAGATTGAATAAGTATGGTGAAGGGATACAACTGTGGCACACACCTTACCTAATTTTAAACCTTCCAATATTCCCTTGTTCTGTTAGAACAACTGTCTTTTGGTCTATATACAGCTTCGTCATGAGCAAAATAAGTGTTCTGGAATACTCATTCTCCACAATATCGTCCTTAGGTTGTTATGATCCACACATTTGAAAGCCTTTGTGTTGTCAGTAAAGCACAGGTAAATATCTTTCTGATATTCTCTGCTTTCAGCAAAGATCCATCTGACATCAGCAGTGATACATCCCGTGTTCCATATCCTCATCTGAATCTGCCTTGAATCTCTGGCAGTTTCCTCTCCATGTACTGTTGCAGCAGTGTTTTGAATTAGCTTTAGCAAACTTTTACTTGCATGTGATATTAATGATATTGTTTGATGATTTCTGCATTCCCAAGGGTCATCTCTCTTTGGAATGGGCACAGATACGGATTTCTGGTCTTCAATCAGTTAGCCAAATAGCTTTCTTCCAAATTTCTTGGCATAGATGAGGGAGTGCCTCAGTGCTGCATCAGTTTTAAAGATTTCAGTTTATGTTCCATCAATTCCTGGAGCCTTGTTCTTTGCCAGTGCCTTCAGTGCACCTTGTACTTCTTCCTTCAGTACCATTGGCTCATGATCATATGCTATCACTTGAAATGGTTGAACATCGACCATTTCTTTTTGGTAGTGTCTCTTTGTAGTCCCTCCATCTTCTTTTAATGCTTTCTGCATATTCAGTATTTCCACCTTGTTGTTGTTAAGTGCCGTTGAGTCAGTTCCGACCCATAGGGACCCTGTATAAGGTTTGCAAGGAGCAGCTGGTGAGCTTGAGCTGCCGACCTTGCAGTTCAAACTGCTTTGCAGTCTAGTGCATTAACCTACAGTGCCACACCAGGCCTCCACCTGAGACACATGTATTTCTCTAAGCATCTGTTTCCTCATCAATAAAACGGAAATAATGATTATCTCTGAAGAGTTTTTTGTTACGATTAATATTATGACTACTGTAATGCTTGGCACATCGTAATTCTCAATAAATTATAACTGCTACCATTACTTTATTTGAACTTTAACAGAAATTTGTTCTCTCACAGTGTAGGAAGCTAGCAGTCTAAATTCAGAGTGCTGACTCTAGGTGAAGGCTTTCTTTCTCTGTCAACTGTGGGGAGAGGTCCTTGTTTCCTTTCAGCATGTGTAGGCCCAGCATTCCTTGGAGATCTCCATATCCCTTGGCATCAGTCTTCCCCCTGGATCTAGAAGCCTCACAGTGCAGGGACCTCCGGCTCTTCCCTCGTGGTGGTAGTAGATCTCCCTGCTACCATTACTTTTAAAAAGTGATTTAACCTCTCCTAACTTCACTCTTCTCATCATAAAAATAGAACTATCCTCAAAGACTTGTTGTGAGGATTAAATGAAATAATACGTGCAGTGGGCAGATGTTTAGGACTCTGTGTTAGTTCTCATTTCTCTTGAGTTTTATCATCAAGAATAATGAAGAAAAAAAGTGATTTGTAATTTTGAGTCAGTGCTATTATTATTAGTTCAATTAACAGATTCCTTAAATGGAGTTGAAGTCTTACATGATACCTTCTGATGAGACTGTTAAGTTTTGTGAGTTCACCCAGTTGATTGATGTTTGTTGCTCAGGATTATAGTAAAGTCCAGCACTTGGCTCTCCATGCATTCCATAATACTGAAGTGGAGGCAATGCAGGCAGAAAGCTGCTATCAGCTGGCTAGATCGTTCCACGTTCAAGTAAGTTCATTTGATAACTTCTCAATAGCTCATTCTTTTTTCTAATGAATAGTTCTTGAAATCTTCTGAAACTGTTGTGCATATTGTTGGGCTTGTTTTATCTTCGTTATTTTAGGAAGATTATGACCAAGCTTTCCAGTACTACTATCAAGCCACACAGTTTGCCTCATCCTCTTTTGTATTGCCATTTTTTGGTTTGGGACAAATGTACATTTATCGAGGAGACAAAGAAAATGCATCTCAGTGCTTTGAGAAAGTTTTGAAAGCTTATCCTAATAATTATGAAACTATGAAAATTCTTGGCTCTCTCTATGCTGCCTCAGAAGATCAAGAAAAACGAGATATTGCGAAGGTATGTTTTATAAAACTTCTTAGCTATTTTCTGTTAACTATTCCTAACTGGTGTGGTGCTATGGGTTAATGCACCAGACTGCAAAGCCATTTGAACTGCAAGGTTGGCAGTTCAAGCTCACCAGCTGCTCCTCAGAAACCCTATACAGGGTTACTGTGGGTCGGAATCACTCGATGGCACTTAACAACAGTTCCTAACTATCACTAGAGGAAGATGAGGCTTTCTTCTCCCTCAAAGATTTACAGTCTTGGAAACCCTATACAGGGTCACTATGAGTCAGAACTGACTTGACTTCACTTACCAACTAGAATTCCTAACTATATCCTCTACTTTTACTCATTCCTCATTTCTTATAGTAGAGATATGATCGAAGCAGCTTTATCAGCTACCTTTGTTCCATTTTTAAGTAACAAACATTGATTTTACTAGACAGAGTGTCAGCCTATTTTTACTTTGACAGCTTATAGTTCATATGCCTTAATTTAATGATTTTTTTTTTTTTCTTTTTAAATCTCAGGGCCACTTGAAGAAGGTCACAGAACAGTATCCTGATGATGTTGAGGCTTGGATTGAGTTGGCACAAATACTAGAACAGACCGATATACAGGTATTTTACAATTTAATACTGCCTTTCATCTCTTACCAGATGTGCTTTTTATAAGCATAATGAAGTGTTTCTCTCTTGTTTCCACTTACACCTTATTTTGTCCACCATGAAAATACAGGGTGCCCTTTCAGCCTATGGAACAGCAACAAGAATCCTTCAGGAGAAAGTACAGGCTGATGTCCCTCCGGAGATTCTGAATAATGTGGGTGCCCTCCATTTTAGACTTGGAAACCTAGGCGAAGCAAAGGTAAGATAATACAAACGTTCTTCTCGTTATCAAGTTTGAATGCAGTGTTTTTAGACTTACCAGCTAGTCTCTTAACAATGCAATTTTCCTTCTTATAGAAATATTTTTTGGCGTCATTGGATCGCGCAAAGGCAGAAGCTGAACATGACGAACATTATTATAATGCTATTTCTGTTACAACATCATACAATTTAGCAAGGCTGTATGAGGCAATGTGTGAATTCCATGAAGCAGAAAAACTATATAAAAACATCTTAAGGGAGCACCCTAATTATGTTGACTGTAAGAGTTTTAAACTTTGTTTTATGTAGTAACATTTCTACAGCAGCTAAAATTTAGCTTGGGAAAAAAATCTTCCTTAAAACCAGTAGTGAAAAATTTTTTGGAGGTTCTGATGTCCCCATTTCTTCAAGGCAGATTTATGATCTTGAAAACCACATGCAGCTCCAATAATAGTTATTTTTATGCTAGAAACTCAAAGACACCACTGAAAGCCTGACCACAATCAGACCTTATTTCATATACTAGTAACCTTTTCTTTTTTTTAACTTTTTCTTGTAAATTGAGTGAAGATTTGTAGACAAGATCATCAGTTTTACATTCAGCAAATCATACGCTTTAGTTCATTTCAATGATTACAATCCCCTCCATGCAACGATAGTTTTCCCACTTCCTCCCTGTGGTTCCTGTCTCCATTCCTCTCACCTTGCCATCCCTTCTCAGCTTTGTCCTTAGGTAAATGTTGTCTTGTTGATTTTGAATGATTGACCATTCCATGGTGAGCATACCTTACTACTGTTGTTGTCCTCACTGTATATCTACTGTTGGGCTGGAAAGTGATTATGGGGGTGAGTTCTTTTTCCAGACCTGAAGGGTGGTCAAGGGCCACAGTTTCAGGTTCCTCCAGTCTCTTTCTGACCACTAAGCCCGGTTTTTTGTTTGTTTTTAATAATTTCAAGTTTTGTTCCACATATTCTGCCACTCTTCCATGACCTAATGTGATCCTTTTTGGAGCATTTGGCAGCAGTAGCTGGGCACCAACTACTTCTGGTATAGAGACTGATGTTCACATGTTTCATTCGTCCATTGGACTAACTGGTTCCCAGCATCTTCAATTCTTATCACTCTTCTTTTTTCCACACATGGAGAGACCAATAACTGCACCTTAGATGATCACTCATGAGCTTTTAAGATCCCAGATGCCACTCACTAAAGTAGGATGTAGAACACTGTCTTTGTGGACTGTGTTAGGCCATTGACCATGGTGTACCCTGAGACTATGGTCCTGAACTCCCAGGCCCAGCTACTCACTGCCATAAGATGTTTGATAACATATCAAACATGTAAGTTTTTGATAACATACACGTTTTCATCAGTTTGCCTACTGAATGTTCTACCACATTCATAGTTGTGTTTTCAGGAAAGTTGTACCCATATATAAATATTCTCTTTCAAACGCATATATTTCTAGGATGTATAAATATATATACGTATCCCACTCTTCCTCCCATACCAGTTCAGCCTGTTTCTCTGTCATGTGTCTATTGGCAGAACACTGTTGTTCCACGGTTGTGTATATAATACTATTTACCTCTATCTCCTTTAGCCCTTGCATACCTCCCTGTCTTCACCTGTCTTCATCATTCTTCTGCTAACTTCCCTCTTGTATATTGCTCTTCCTGTCACTCTAGGTAACTCTTGTCTACCCTCTAGTCAGTGAATTACTGTCCCTTCCCTCCCACCCCTGGTAACCATCAAAGAATGCTTCTTTTAATATAAAAACCTTTTCTTGAGTTTTTACAATAGTGGTCTGATGCTAGGAATCTTTTTCTGAAGAAAATAACAAGTTATGTGTGTGTTGTTGCAGTTTATTATTATTTGACTGAAAGAACCAACCATAAGATCTTCTAAATAGTCCCTGCTTTTTCTATTTTGCCATATGACAAACAGCTTCTAACAAAAGTAACTGACAGTGGTGGTCATTGGAGAGAAATTAAAAATAGACCTCCAAGCTTTCTGAATAACTTGAAATAAAAACTGAGACCATTGTACTAGCATTGGGATTGGAGTGGAAGAGAGAAATCTTAGGTTTGTTTTGCAAGCAGTGAACCATAATCCTTGATAATGGCAAAGTTACTCTTCGCCTTGTTAGTTTGTTAAATAGTTAAATTATTTGGTATTTTTCACCTGTGGAGCTCTTCTAATGGTCGTATGGGTTTATTTAAAATATTTTTTTTTAAATATGACTTTAAAATTAACCTTTATAGTTACTACATTAAACATAAAAACTCTTAAATATGTTTTGCAGGTTATTTGCGCCTAGGAGCCATGGCCAGAGACAAAGGAAACTTTTATGAGGCTTCAGATTGGTTTAAGGAAGCTCTTCAAATTAATCAGGTTGGTAATATTAGCTTTCACCTTTGAAAAATAATTATTTTCACTTCCTCCTATTAAATCTTTCTTTGTCTTTTAATGGCAATCACTTTTATAATAGTCTTGTTTTGCTTGTGTTTCCTCATCTACTTATTAAAGATATTAAAGAGGTATATAGTAGATGGCACGATTTGTCACGTAGCACGGACCATATTTTCAATGTAAATCGATTATACTTCCTTCCTCCTTGTTTCTTCTTCCCTACCCACACAGTTTTGTCACATGTAACCTGACTTACAGGTCTTCTACTATCTCTAGTTCATCTGCCTTGGGATTCAGTTAGTCTCCTATGTGAAAAGTTTATAGAAACAGATGGTCATAGCATCTGATCTGGCACTGTAGAACTCATCAAAACTTTCTTATTGTTGACTCACAGTAAGAAATAAATTTCTTACTAGTAGGAATGGACATGTGTGTATACAGAATACTAAAATGAAAGTTTTCACAAATCATTATTTGTTCTTATCGTGTGCACTACACTGATAGTTTTATTTTATTCCATTCCATTGGTTTTTTTATGCTGATAACGACACACTAAATTAACTTTCACTTTGAAAACTAAGGTGCACCTGATCCAAGCCATGGTATTTTCAGTCACTTCGTATACATGTGAAAGTTGGACAGTGAATAAGACTGTAGAAGAATTGATGCCTTTTGAATTGTGGTGTTAGTGAAGAATATTAAATATACCACGGACTGCTAGAATGCAGTACGGCCAGAATGCACCTTTGAAGCGAGGATGGCGAGGCTTCATCTCACATACTTGGGACATGTCATCAGATGGGACCAGTCCCTGGAGAAGGACATCATGTTTGGTAAAGTAGAGGGTCAGTAAAAAAGATGAAGACCCTCAACCAGATGGATTGACACAGTGGCTACATCAATGGGCTCAAGAGCATGATGGCACTGGATTGGGCAGTGTTTTTCTGTTGTACATGGGATCGCCATGAGTCAGAACCAGTTCGATGGCACCTACCAACAATAATGGGTCTTACCTGTCAATTTGAAAAAAAAACTTGTATTTTATAGACCTCTTCAGTTCACTGTAATTAACTCTTGTGAAAAGATAGTTGATCTCTCTCAATCCAAATCACAGAATACACTTTATATCCTTAATGTGTGTTTCAGGATCATCCAGATGCTTGGTCTTTAATTGGTAATCTTCATTTGGCTAAACAAGAATGGGGTCCAGGTCAGAAAAAATTTGAGAGGATATTAAAACAACCTTCCACACAAAGTGACACTTATTCTATGCTGGCCCTTGGCAATGTGTGGCTCCAGACTTTGCATCAACCCACTCGAGACCGAGAAAAAGTAATTTCTTTTTATCTTTTTAAACAAAACTGATGATTCTACATTCTGGTTTGAATTGTTATGTATAGTGTTTGTTTCTTTTTATAGGAAAAGCGTCATCAAGATCGTGCTTTGGCCATCTACAAACAAGTACTCAGAAATGATGCAAAGAATCTGTATGCTGCTAATGGAATAGGTGATTAATGAGACTTGGATACCTATACTCATTTGTCAATGAATGTTCTGGGGAGGGATGTTTATAGAATGGGGCTTCTAAAAGTTCGTGGGAAAATTGAACTAGAAGGTACATGGAATTTTTTCACAAACTTTTTGAAGGTCCCTCATACATTAGAATTTCTTTGCAAATAAGCGTAATTGTTTTAAAACAGGACTTGTAGTTTTTCTGACTCGCTACAACTAGAAAATTCTTCAATGTGAACCTTTTTATAATTAGGAGCTGTGTTGGCCCACAAGGGATATTTCCGTGAAGCTCGTGATGTATTTGCCCAAGTGAGAGAAGCAACAGCAGACATCAGTGATGTGTGGTTGAACTTAGCACACATCTATGTGGAACAAAAGCAGTATATCAGTGCTGTTCAGATGGTAATGCCTTGTCTTCCAAGATATTTCTACATCATGTTCATTGTTGAGCAGATGTTTTCTTAATCTTTCTGGCCCTGTCCTGGAGCATGGAACTAGCAACATGCAATTTCTGTGGTACACTCACAAGGTGTTAAGACCAGGCTTGGTATCCAGAGGTTTGTGTCCTGACTGCATGATTAATTGCATGCCATAGACAAAGGACGTTCTCTTTGAACCTTAGGTTCTATATCTATAGAACAGAGTTCCTTTTTCTCATAGAATTTCGTGAGGACCCAGTGTGTAAACTATTTTACACTGACATGCTTAGCATATTAGTAAGTACTCAATAATAAGTAATTGTCGTTGTTGTTAAGTGCTTTCAAGTTGGTTCCAACTCATAGAGACCCTGTATAGGGTTTCCAAGGAACAGCTGGTGGGTTTAAACCTCTGAACTTGTGGTTCACAGTCCAGTGCTGATCCTACAGTAAGTAATAGTATTGAATGTTTATTTGTTTGTTTTACTGTCGGTCTCACATAGCAGAAGCTTTAAAAGCTCCATGGAGACAGGGTTTCATAACTGTAGAATTTTGATATGCTCTTCATATTTGTAGCGTGCTTGAACTTGAAATAAAAGAGTCATAGCATGTCTAGCAAATCAAAGTTAAAGCATACTTGGGTTCTGTGGGAAACACTTGGTAGTCAGAAAGAAGAAACTTCTTACAAAAGCAGTCCAGAAGGAAATGTTTGGCCTGTTCCTAAGAGTAGAGTATCATCAATATTCAGAGTATTAGATAGACACTAATCACAGGGACTTACAGACCTCAGCTTGCCTGTGGTAGGCAGTGTTTTTGAGGTGGGACTTTCTGATCTGCAGAATGAGAATTTTGCCTTTTGCTAATTCAGGTTAAATTACTAGGGATATTCAGGGCAAAACTATGTTCCCTGAATAGGATCTGCATACTACAAGATGTATTCCATGGTCAAAGTTAATACTGGCATTCTTTTATTGGGCTTACCACAAAATTAACAGCCAAAACCCTTAGACTAGTCATGCTCAGTGCCAATAAATTTCCAAACTATTAGCCCTTTCATTAGTGTTAGAAAATCAAAATACTGTAGAATCCTAAATTTCAAACGGTAAAACTATTTTGAGTATATACGTTTTCAAATGATCAGATAATTCATGTTGTGTAAATGTATTCTGGTAAATGTCAAAAATTGTTTCTCCAGCTTTTCTCTGAAATTATCTCATCATTCAGAGTGTAAATATTTTTTCATGGAGCATGAAAATTTCCTGAAATTTTACTACAAAATAAAAATACCATTTAATCTCAGGTGTGTTTCTTTTTTTATAGTATGAAAACTGTCTCAGAAAGTTCTATAAACACCAGAATACTGAAGTTGTACTGTATTTGGCCCGGGCCCTCTTCAAGTGTGGCAAGTTACAAGAATGTAAACAGACTTTGCTGAAGGTAAAAAGAACTATTGTAACCCAGTTCTATGCTGCATTGTATTTTTTTCAGTTTTTCATGCATGTTCACATACCTACTAAAATCATATATTTTCATGTCATTAGATTATATAAAATAAATGCTTTGTTTTCTATTCATAGGCTAGACATGTGGCGCCCAGTGATACAGTTCTTATGTTTAATGTAGCTTTGGTGCTGCAAAGATTAGCTACCTCTGTCCTGAAAGATGAAAAGAGTAATCTGAAGGAAGTACTTAATGCTGTGAAGGAACTGGAGCTTGCACACAGGTAAAGATTATATAGAAAGAATTCTAAAATGCTGTGTTTCATTAAACCCATGTTTCAAAAGGGACAAAATTACTTCTCTCAAAAGACAATTTTGTTAGAATTATTCCAGCCATGTTTAAACATGGTCAAGTAGACAGCCTACCACCAGGTGGCACCAAACAATAGATAAGTATCTGCCAGATTCAGGTCTTTAGGAACCCTGGTAGTGAGTGGTTGGTTTAAGTGTTCACTTGCTTACCACAAGATTGGCAGTTCGAGCCCACTGGCCACTCCATGGGAGAACAGTGTGACAGACTGCTTCCCTTAAGATGTATAGTCTTAGAAACCCTGTGGACAAGTCTACTCTTGATGACAGTGGATTTGGGTTTTGGTTTAGCACTTTTCATAGAACGGTCTAGCTTTGCAAATTTACCCTCAATTTCTCATTGACGAAAATTTGATTCACTATTTTATACATTTACATATTTTGACTCCATTTACTTTATTTATCTTGGTTTTACTTGTTACATGTTGTTGTTGTTAAGTGCTGCCATTAAGTTGGTTCCAATTCATAGCCACACTGTTTAGGGTTTCTAAGGAGTGGCTATTAGCAGCAGTTCAGTGCTTGTCCTACAGTGCCAGACTAGGTTATTTATTAAATGTTGACTACTAACCAAAAGATGGAGAGTTTGAACCTACCCAGAGGCACCTCAGACATAGGCCTGGGGATCTGCTTTCGCAAGATGACAATCTGTGGAGCATTTCTACTCGGCACACAGGAGACCACATGAGTCAGAATCCACTGGATAGCTACTAATAATTTTTATAGAGCTAGAATTAAGGTCTCACTTCTAAATTATTGATTGATAGGTTTACTCAACTCAGCAAAAATATTGTTTAACCTTATAATGTTTATTTGGTAATTAGTGTGTAGTAAGGTTTTGTTCAACCTTACAATTGTTAATTAAACATTTCTTGTTTTCCCTGGTAGATTGTAAGTACTATCACGCACTAAACTTCTTATTCCCATGCTAACATACTTGGTAAATTCAGTGTTTAGTAAATATTTGTTGCTTGAATTGATTTGGGGTGGGGTTTGGGGTGTCTTTATTGGTAACATTAAATATAACTTTGCTTGCTTTGATGAACTTGTTTTTATTCAGATGTACTTTTGAGTGGTTTATTGATAGATTGAGATGAGAGTCCTTTATGTATTAAATATGTTCTTGTAAGTCAGCCAGTAGTTCTGAAGAACAGTTTTGAAAATCTAAAGAGCGTTATTTCATTAGAAACTTTAAAAAGTATTTTATTTTTTCATTCCACTTAGATACTTCAGTTACTTGAGTAAAGTGGGAGATAAAATGAGATTTGATTTGGCTCTTGCTGCTACAGAAGCCAGGTAATGTTACTGTTTGTAGAAGGTAACTGTGTGATATAGGCAGAGGAATGGCTGTGGGCTGGAAGAGTGACTATGGTGCCCAGGACCTGCCTTTCACACCTGGGGGTTCCTTTCAGGGAAAATGTCAACACTGATTTAGCAGAAGTCCTTGTGTGGGAAAATGTTTTTCTGTTTCATTACTGTCAGGTTGGCCCCTAGAATCAAGATAGGAATCCCTAGTTCTTTGACTCATGTCTGAAGCTAATGTTGGAGATCATTTTACCTAAGCTTTAAAGGACCTTTTTAGTGTGAAAATTTAACATAGTTGATAAGCAGTTTATGGTAACTAAGTTAATTTGGCCTAGTAGGTATTTGCTAGCAATCTTGCTTCTAAATTTTTAATTTTTTAAGGAAAATAGATGTCCTGAGTTTTTGAACAAAGTATATAGCACCAACTGCATTTCTGTTTCTGTAAATCCAAAATGTTCTAGGCAATGCTCTGACTTACTAAGTCAGGCCCAGTACCATGTGGCCCGGGCACGCAAACAAGATGAAGAAGAACGGGAATTGCGGGCCAAACAAGAGCAAGAAAAAGAGCTATTGAGGCAGAAACTTCTTAAAGAACAGGTATTTATTATATTTCCCCGCTATGTTAAAATTAAAGAATTGTATGCATACATCTTTACTTTGTGTGTTAAGAAAGCAGTTCTTCTGATTAGGATAGTAGCCATGATTTTTTTTTCACCATAAGACATTCTAATGGAATTTAGTGTTGTTTCCGCTCATAGGAAGAGAAACGTCTCCGAGAAAAGGAAGAACAGAAGAAACTTTTGGAACAGCGGGCCCAGTATGTAGAGAAGACGAAAAATATACTTATGTTTACTGGTGAGACTGAAGCAGCAAAGGAGAAAAAAAGAGGCGGTGGTGGTGGCCGGGTAAGATACAATTCCTGCTGACATTGATGACGTCATTTGCTAATCCTGACCTTTCAGAGATGAAGATAATTGGTTAAACTTCTTCAGTGCTTAGTCCTTAGCTTTGACTTCCTTCTTTACTAAAAGATGGTTTTCTAACAAAGGATATTACTTAAATGGTATCTGTTGTTTAGTGTCTTGTTGGTTCTGACCCATAGCAACCCTGTATAGTGTTTCCAAGGAGTGTCTGGTGAGTTTTAACCACCAACTTTGTGGTACAAACTGACCTTGCAGTCCAGTCAAGACTCATTTGTTGTTAAGTGCCATCAAGTCAGTCGACCCATAGCAACCCTGCTGGTGAGTTTGAACTGCTGACCTTGTGGTTCAAATGACTTTGCATTAACCCACAGCACCACACCCAAATTTTAATCAATTGAGACATTAATTCCAATTAAAAGTCTTTAAAATATGGGCCTAGCCATAGACCTCTTCCATGTGACTTAGTAAAAATCCTTTATTTGTAAAATGACTGTTGGGATATGGCCTTTTTATAGATCTTAGCCTTCAAGCCTTTATATTCATTCCATCAGTCAGGAAACAATGGTAGTCTTATTTGGATTTCAGCGTTCTAAGAAAGGAGGAGAGTTTGATGAATTTGTCAATGACGACACTGATGATGACCTGCCTATGTCCAAAAAGAAGAAGCGGAGGAAGGGCAGTGGTAGTGAACAAGAAGGTGAAGAAGAAGAGAATGGTGAGAGGAAGAAGAAAAAGAGGAGAAGGTATTACTATCATTAGTGTCTTTTCAATACTTTTATGTTGTTGTTATTAAGTGCCATCGAGTCGGTTCCAACCCATAGCGACCCTGTAGAGGGTTTCTGAGGTGCAGCTGGTGAACCTGAACTGGCCACCTTTGCGATCCAGCACATTAACCCACAGCACCACACCAGGACTCCACATTACCTTCTGAATATCTGAATCTTTTTATATGGTTAGGAATTTAGGAACACCAGCTACTCACTTGATCTTCCCAGACTTTAAAGCCTTTTGTGCCCTCCCTCCCCCAACTGTAATCTTTAGATTGTTGTTTTTGTTAAGTCCCGTCAAGTCAGTTCCAACCCATAGCGACTCTGTATAGGGTTTCTAAGGAGCAGCTGGTAAGCTTGAACCACCGACCTTGCAGCACCACACCAGATAAAACCCTTGAGTACATCGCCATTGCTTTCTTTCTGACGGCTACTAGTTCATCATAACTGCCTTTTCCTGTCTTTAAATTGATATTTAATACTTAAAGCTCTAAGGATATAGAATGAGAAGACTTGCATTTGTGTCTATGTTAACTGTGCGTGCTGTCTCAGTCACAAAGCTTTAGTTCTTTCTCTGTAAAATGGAAATAATGGGCACCTAATGGTTTTGCTGGTGAACGCACATGAGCATCTTTTAGATCACCCAGTTACATCTGCTGTTAACATCATGGAGGCCCTGCCCATCTCACCTGGAGGTGTTCTCTAGGCTGCCTTATTTTCTCCTTCTCGCTGCTTCTCTCTCCACATATCATACCCAGACTGCATTTCCTAGCCCTCAGCTGACTATACTTAGAATGAACCTGATGAACTCATTCAAACACAGGCCTGTGGCATTAAAGCTGTGATGAGGATATTAATAGCAGGCCTGGAATGAGTAGTTATAAAGGCTGGAAGGAAGAAAAGGAGGAAAATGTTGGGGTCTGGGACCTGGGTCTTTTCTGACATCCTCCATCACTCTCCTATATGTAAGAGACAAGCTTAGATTAATTAGTATTGCATAAATATGTGGTTTTCTACAGACCCCTGAACCCTGTGCGACAAGAGTACGCTGTCTTTGCCCTTAGGTAGTGTGACACACCAACTCTTAATGGTGAAGTAGTCTTAGACTTCATAGGCATGAGCGAATCTTAAACTCTCTTGGTGTTCATTATTTAAGACCCACAAAGGGAGAAGAAGGGTCTGATGATGATGATACAGAAAATGGCCCGAAACAGAAAAAGCGCCGCCCACTAAAAGCAGAGAAGAAAAAGACTGTAAGTTTATAGTATAATGTTTCTGTTCCACTGTAGCCATAAAAGATTGTACTATACTAGAATACATTTTTACTCCAGTTTTCTCAAGCACTTTCTTTCCAAGTTAATTGGTTGGTTTGATTGTATCATTATAATGCTAATCTAATTTAACAAGATAGCCTTATGTACAAGTCTTGACTAATCTGTTATATTTGACATTTTTTAGCCTAAGCCAGAACGTCTACCTCCTTCAATGAAAGGGAAAATAAAATCCAAAGCCATAATATCATCGAGTGATGATTCTTCAGATGAGGATAAACTTAAAATTGCTGATGAAGGGTAAGCATTTTTCCCTTGGTAAATTACTTTTTTCTAATGATGTGGGTAAATCAAACTTGATTGTTAACATTTACTTGGGGGAAATTACTTTTTTTCCTTTTTTTTGTTAAGAGGAAAAGTAGACTTTTGGGGCTTGGGGAAGGAAATAAGTAACTGGGATTAATTATTGCCCCAAATGTCCTCTCTCCATGCTACTTGGAATATTACACCTGGAAGAAACCTTAGCATATTTCTCATTCTATCCCTTGGTATTGTTATCCTACATGCTTATCCCTTAAAGACTAAAACATTTTGAAATTTCTTTTCTTTGTGGATGTTAGCTGAAATTTTCTGTAAGACATCCTCCTAAAAGACATGTGTAAATGTTACTACACGACTTTTGTAGTGTAGTTCCTGTCTGTAATAGGTCTGTCATGGTGGAGGGGACTTGGGACAGTAACTAATCCCAAGATTGATACTAGTGACTTCACACTTTTAGAAGTATATGTTAGCACGGTGGTAACAAATCACTTAAGTGTCCCACCTTCCAGCCTAGGGAAAGGACCAGTTCAGAGTCTCTACAGCCAAGTGAGATGCTGGATTTCACCATTGTTGCTGTTAGTTTTGTAAAATATAAACAAAGGTATCCTTTCTTCATAATTTTATAGATGAGATGGAGAAATGCTTTATCCTTTTAAAAGGTATCTGATAGAATCCAGTAGAACATAGACCTGTTAATTTCTACATTTAGTTACGGTGATAGGATTCAAATTATACAGCTATTCTCACCATCCTTTTCCAAGTTGTTCTTCCCACAGGAACATAAACGCATTGCCCCCAAGCTTCCTATCAGATCTTTCAAATTACTCTTGTCAGTTGGATCCTGTATATATATGTTGTTGTTGTTAAGTGCCATTGAGACGGTTCCAACCCATAACGACCCTATATAGGGCTTCCGAGGAGCAGCTAGTGAGCTTGAACCACATATATATAGATAGATCTTGAAAGAGCATAAAACTCAAAGATGACAGCCTTTACAGTTAAGCTAAACTGTTGATTGGTTTTAAGAAGGACCTTAAGGGATACTTTTGATTTAAGATTTAAAGATTGTCTTTGGGTACCTCCATGACTACAGAAAGTCTGTAGAACCCATGAAAATTTTGAATTCTGCTCTGCATTTCCCCCCTTTTGATCAGGATTCTTATTTTGATCAAGATAACAATCTTTGCCCAAAATGTTCAGTAATGGTAACTAGGCACTCACCCTCCAGTTCTTCTGGTGTCATGGTCTAGGAAGCAGTTATGAATGACTGCAATTAGTCACAAATTCCATTTCCTCCTCCCATTCCTGAGTTTTTTTCCACTGTTGCTCCAGATGAATAGAGACCAATTATTGTATCTTGTGTAATCATTTTTTAAATTATAAAATATATCACATTTACAGAAAAGTACACAAAACAAATGGAGTCCTGGTGTGGCACTGTGGGTTAATGTGCTGGACTGCAAAGTCAGTTTGAACCACAAGGTTGACAGTTCAAGTTTACCAGCTGCTCCTCAGAAATCCTGTACAGAGTTGCTATGAATTGGAACTGACTCAGTGACACTTAACAATAACACAAAACAAATAGCACAAAATGAACACCTGTATAAACACCACTTAGGTCAAAAAATAGAAGATTACATGTCCTTATTTAAAAAAAAAAAAAACACACATACTTGCTTGTCAGGGATCCCGTTGGCCAGAATCCTCAGTGTCTAACCACATGCTTGTCTGTGCCAGACATCCCAGGAACAGCAACAGTGACTCCGATGAAGGTGAACAAAGGAAGAAACATGCCTCATCAGAAAGTGATTCCGATGAGAACCACAACAAGTCTGGCAGTGAGGCCGGCAGTCCCCGGAGGCCCCGCAGACAGCGGTCAGATGAGGATTCAGACAGTGACCAGCCATCCAGAAAGCGAAGACCCTCGGGTTCTGAGCAGTCTGACAATGAGTCTGTGCAGTCAGGAAGAAGCCGCTCAGCAGGTTCTGAGAACGACTCTCGCCCTGCTTCCCCAAGCGCCGAGTCAGAGCGGGATTCCGAGAGAGGATCTGATAATGAGGGTTCTGTCCGAGGCTCAGGAAACGAATCAGAACCAGAAGCATCCAACAATGAGGCTTCAGATCGGGGCTCAGATCATGGGTCAGATGATAGTGACTAGGTTTTATTTCATAAATAAGCTTCATCTCTGGAGGAAGTTTTTTAATATATGAAAGCTGTGATAAAAATGTTTCAGATGTTTAGTCAAACAATTGTGAAATTTTTAAGACAGTTTTTTTTTTTTTCTGTTTGTATATTACTTACTAAGCCCCAAGAGACATTTCCTGTGCTAGAGTCCCACCTTTGAGAATGCCTCATGCAAACAAGACTCTTCTTCATTGTGGTACAAGTTTACCTATCATATGTGAAAACTGCAGTAAAAATAAAACCTATGCTAACTCATTCCTATACTGAGGTTTGATTGATATTATGGCAATGTCTTTTCTTTGTTATGTTAAGCAGCATAATACTGTTTTGATTTTTATTGTAATCTTTTACCAAGTAATGTAAGAAACTTGGTGTTAACAATGTCTTTGTTCCATTTTGATAATAGATGGAGAATGTTTTCATTTTCTGGAGAAAGCAGTGTCTACTGTATAATTGTACCAAAGTAAAAATGAAAAGACGGTTTTGTTCAATAGTTAATGCTGCAGCCATGTAGATAAAACTAAAAGTATATAAAGTGTTAGGTTGAAAAAGATGTGGAAAAATACTTTTCTGTTAGTAGAACGCAAAGTCCTTCCTAAATTACATAATAAAATCCCTTTACCAAATTGTATAGGTAACTTTGTGTCCTATTTTTTGTTGTTGTTCAAAGTATATTTGTATATGAAATGAAGTATAAGTACACTGTAAATCTTTGAAAAAAACTGCACTAGGCCAAAGCTTAGTTACTCAAGACTTTGGTAATTCTGTATAGATTTGTGGGGGTTTTTGTGGGTTTTTCTTGGAAAGATACAAAATATTAAGGTACTGTTATATTATTTTCATATTTATTTCATATTTTTCGTATTTATTTTTTAATGAACAATTTTAAAGTAATACCATTTTTCATATTGTTAAGTGCCATTGAGTAGATTCTGACTCATCATGACCTTGTGTAGGGTTTCCAAGGAGCAGATGGTGAACTGCTGACCTTACAGTTCAAGCCAACCTTGTAGTCCGGTGCTTATCCTGCAGCACTACATCAGATCTCCTGTTTTTTATATGGTTCTAGATTCTACTATGGAGTCCTGGTGTGGTGCTGTGGGTTAATGCGCCAGACTGTAAAGCCGTTTGAACTGCCAGGTGGCGGTTCAAGCTCACCAGCTGCTCCTTCGAAACCCTATGCAGGGTTGCTATGGATTGGAACTGACTCGATGGCACTTCATAACAACAATATTCTACTATGGAGTCCTGGTAAATGTGCTGGACTGCAAAGGTGGTTAGATCCATAAGGTCTGCAGCTCAAGCTCACCAGCCTCTCCTTGGAAACCCTATTCAGAGTCACTATGGGTCAGAACCAACTTGACAGTACTTAACGAAAAATATATACATATTGCAGAGTCCTGGTGTGGCTTTGTAGGATAAGCACTGGACTGCTAACCACATTATTGGTGGTTAAAATGCACCAGCTACTCCTCGGAAACACTTTATAGGATTGCTATGAGTTGGAACTGACTCAATGGCACTTAACAACAGACATACTGCATGTTGGAGTCCTAGTGTAATGCTGTAGGGTAAGCACTGGACTGCTAACTTTAAGGTTGGTGGCTCAGACCCAGTAGCCACTCCTGGGAAGCCCTATACAGAGCTGGAACTGACTTAACAGCAATACATATTGCAAAGTGCCTTAATATTGTTTTAAGTGCCGTCGAGTCGGTTCTGACTCATAGTGACCTTGTATTGGGTTTCCGAGGAGCAGCTGGTGAGTTTGAACTGTCAACAAGTATTAAATGCACTACATTAGCCAATGAGAATTCAGAGACAAAACTGCCTTCCCTGTCATCAGAAGTTCCTAGTCTAATGAAGAAGATAAATTTATTGCCCCTATGGAGTGGAAGAGGAGCCTTGATGCTACAGTGGTTGAGCACTCCAGTGCTTACTGAAAGGCTGGTGGTTCAAACCCACCAGCCACTCTTGAGAAAGTTGTGGCAGTTTGCTTCTGTGAAGATGGTTGCTAAGTGCCATCAAGTTGGTTCAGAATCAGAGCGGTCCTGTGTCGTTTCCAAGGAGCAGCTGGTGGATTTGAACTGCCAACCTTGTGATCCAGTGCTTATCCAACAATGCCACACCAGATTGGAAACCCAATGGGGCAGCTTTACTCTGTCCTATAGGGTCATTGTGAGTTGGAATTGATAGCAACTAGATGCCGTGGGAAATGGGGAAAGCACAAAGTAGGCTGCCTAACATCCTGGTAAGAGGGCACAGACCTGCTAAAGGACAAAAGACCTACAGTGGGTTAATGCTTCAGACTACAAAGTCATTTTGAACCACAAGGTCAGCGGTTTAAGCTCACCAGTCAATCCTCAAAAACCCTCACTTTGGGTGGGAACCAACTCAGCAGCACTTAACAAGTGGAGAATTAGGGAAGGGTATTCTGTGCAGTCACATGAGGCTGTGGGAACCACAGTAATGTTATAAGACATGCTCCTTTGACAAGTGAAAAATTTGAAGATAAACCAGTGTTGTACAGCTTGTAAAAGGAAAGGTTCTGATTACAATCCAGGTCTGCCTCCTTTTCCTGGTTTTCCAAACACTTGTTAAGTGCCGTCGACTCAGTTCTGACTCATAGTGACCACTGACGTTGCAGTTAGCAGTCCAGTGCTTATCCTATAGTGCCATACTAGGACTCCTGTCACACTTCTGGTGAATGAATCCCCAAAGTAACAAAAATTAAAAATTTTTAAACAGTAACTTAAAAAAATGTCGACAGTCCCTTGGAGAGAGCTATTTATGGAAGGATTTAACTTAATGTATACAGCGGGGGGGTTTTTTGTTGTTTTTTTTTAATGTCTTGCTTTCCTCTCAACCTTTTGGCGACAAAGATGCTTTTGAGTATATTTCCTAATAGGCAGTTTTGGAGTCAGTTCTACTTTTATGGGTATTACTCAACAATGAGCTCCCAGATTAGCAGAACAAGTGTTCCCTGGTAGTGTGACCCACACCAGAAGCCACTTAAGTATCTGAGGCCTCTGTGGCCACTAATTGGAAGCTGGACATTACAGAAATGGCCCATTTAGGAAGGGTAAGGCCCTCTGACAGGACATTTGACCGGCCTGTTGCTTTGCTCTGCTACTGCTGTCCTTGAGAATTCACAACAGCTCTGAAAGGTACCTAAGCATCTACTTGCACCTCAGAATTAGCCTTCCATCTCCAAGTGGAGCTGGGTATCAGCACGAGAAGGCAGTGTGAAGAACTGGTTGAGAAGAGAGATACTGGAGACCAGGAGTCCTGGGATGGAATCTCACTTGTAATATTGAAGAGTCATAGGACCTTGGGCAAGTAACTTCTAATTAGGACACTTAACTCATGAAATGAGGCATTTCTACTACACTACATTTTGGAGTCCTGATGTGACACTATAGGATAAGCACTTGACAGTTAACCGTAGGTTCATGGTTCAAATCCACCAGCTGCCCCTCAGAAACCCTTTACAGGGTCATTATGACTTGGAACCAACTCGACTGCAATTAACGAGTTTTGAGAAAGGAGCGCTGGTTATACAATGGGTTAAGCATTACACTGCTAATGGCAAGGTCAGTGGTTCAAGTCCATTAGCCACTCCAAGGGAGAAAGATGAGGCTGTTTATTCCCATAAAGGTTTACAGTCTTGGAAACCCTAAGGAGCAGTCCTACCGGATTGCTATGAGTTAGAATCAACTTGATGGCAGTGGGTGGGAACTTAAGTCTCCAGCGACTGCTCCCTCCTGACAATATGTCCAAAGTATGAGAGACAAAGTTTGACCATCCTGGCCTCCAAGGAGCACTCTGGCTGCACTTCTTCCAACACGGATCTGTTGGTTCTTTTGACAGCTCATGGCACTTTCAATATTCTCCTCCAACACCATAACTCAAATGCATCAATTCTTCTATGGTCTTCCTTATTTACTGTCCAGCTTTCGCATGCATATGAGGTTATTGAAAATACCATGGCTTGGGTCAGGCGCACCTTAGTCTTCAAGCTGACATATTTGCTCTTCAACACTTTAAAAAGGTTTTGTGCAGCAGATTTGCCTAATGCAATACATCATTTGATTTCTTGATGGCTGCTTCCATGAGTGTTGATAGTTGATCCAAGAAGAATGAAGTCCTTGACAACTTCAATCTTTTCTCCACTGATAATAATGTAGTCAATAAAGCACAGGTAAACATCTTTATCCATCGGACAACGGCAATGATATCCCTCATTCCACATTCTCTTCTGAATCCCGCTTGAACCTCTGGAAGTTATCTGACAAACTATTTCTGAATATTTATTCACTGAAAGTCATATTCCATTATAATAAAGGACTATATCTAGCTCATAGGTTGGAGTCCTGGTGTGCCACTAGAATAAGCACTGGACCACAAGGTCAGTTTGAGCCACAAGGTTGGTGGTTCAAACCAACCAGCCACTTCAAATACAACATAGGCTGGTGAGGATGAAGGTAGGTTTTGAGATGAACACTCTAAGTTCAGAATTGGTTCTGAATGTCAGGCACTAATCATCAGAATCCGTTTTCCTTGTTTCAATCAAATGAGGGTGGGTCAGCTAGACTGTCATGTAGATGTAATTAAAGTGCCGTCAAGTGGGTTCTGACTCCTAGTGACCTTGTCTAGGGTTTCCGAGGAGCACCTGGTGAGCTTGGACTGCCAACCTTGTGGTTCAAAGTGACCTTATGGTACAGTGCATTATCCTGCAGCACCACACCAGAACTGCCATAGGTCATCTTGTTAAAAATTCTTGTTTCTTCCTAGGTATCTTCTAGCCAAATATTTTTAATCTCCAGGAAATATAACTTTCCAGAAGTTTTTAAAGTACTCCTTGCTTTGATCCCACTAATGAACAATTGCTATCCCTGGGAGAATAAATAGGCAATGGGGGGGGGGGGGGTGGACCTTTAAAGGAAAATAACTTCATCTCCTTAAACTAGAATTTGGAGCACCTGGTGATTGGAGCTTTTCCCTAAAAGTTGTTTCTGATGCTGTGGTCTCCAGGGTGTGTTAGGTCAGAACAAGTCACTGCTGAGGCTTCCCATGCCAGCACTGGGAACACAGAAAGGATAAGCGCTGTAGGAAAGTCAAGTTAGTCTAGATCTCAGGGCATTCTCTGATTTGGGGCAGATCACACCAGAGTGCAGCTGTCATCAGACAGACTCATTTTGCAATGACAAAAAAACCCAAACCCAACCCATTGCCTTCAAGTTGATGCTGACTGATAGTGACCCAATAGAACAGAATTCAGCTGCCCCCTCAGGGTTTCTCTGTGGCTGTGAAATTTCACAGGGAGCAGACTGACACACCTTTCTCCATTTGCACTGCCAATATTTCTGATCTTTCAGCGAGCAGCAAAGCAACTAACCACTGCGCCTTCAGGGTTTCTCCCGTTTCTAATCGGAAGCCTGGTCAGGCCTCTAGCAGAACTTTGACACACACACTGATGGGGTAAAATGCTTCACTTCTCAGTCTCAGTGTCCTTGTCAATAAAATGGGTCATGTAACCTCTCTTTTCCTGAGTTCACACTCTCCATACATACAATACAAAAGGAATATCTGCCCTTCATTTATTCCTCAGAATAAATGAAGTGATTG